GACTGTTTCTTCACACTTACTGCACGTCTGAAGACGAGCTGGGGAACCAGATTCGAAAATTTACGAAATAAAGTTTGTTCATTTTCCCAAAGGACTCATTCTTCTTCGAATTATGTTTCTTGGGATGCCCATCTTCCAGTACATACGTATGAATTTATGGAATATATACAGTAATTTTTTAAAGGCATAAAAGAGCGTATGATTTTCCTCACACGGAACGCATGCATTTCTTGGACTGAAATCACTAGGCGCTAATGTAACGGCTGATCAAGCTCTAAGTTATTCGGGAATGAAAAAACGTCTGCCTCTTCTCCCACTCTCGCGCCTGCCGCAAACCCCACTTCGACCGCCACTTTTGTCACTGTCGATCATAAAGTCGCAGTCCCACCGCCACCATCCGCGCTGCCTCAACCCCTGCGTCGACCGCGGCGGCCAGCATCACGAACACCACGTTTTCAAGTACTCCTCCCCAACGATGGGACGACGTCTCACCAACTTCAAACATCACCAACATCCCCACTTCCAGCGATGTGGACTCAGTTCATACCTGCCCTCATTAAGATCGCACATTCACTTCAAGTATCAGCTTGGTCAATCATTTGCGAATACATCGTACAGAGACTGGAGAACCAGTGCATGGGCCACCCACATACACTCGCCGCATCCGCTCCCACTGCTCTCACTGACTCGGCATATTCACTCATCGCACGAGACTATTCGGTCACATTCGTACTCACTGCAATCGAATTCAGCAAAGTCTCGATATTTCTTATGCACCTGGCATATCCACCATGAGAGATCGGGTTGATTTTTGAAGACAAAGATGGGCTCACCGGACCAGGTTTATTAAGATGCTGACGTTTCGAATGGGCTAGTAAGATCTCCATTCTCAAAGCGTAAAATGCACTTTTCGACCAGAAATCCCGAGTGGCATATCACGTTGGTCGGCCTCCTGCTGATCGAGTTTTCTCTCTCCTCGCTGCCTCGGCCTTTTGGGTGATGGTTGACATGTGTTGGGTCTGCGTGCGTTGTGAGTCACCACTCCGCCGGGAGGAGGTGACTGAACCAATGTCGGGTGGTCAGTCTGGCATTTCTTTTTCCCTATGGCGACCGTTTCATATTCGGCTTAATCTGCTTGATCGTGATGCCACACTGGCGTCAAAGCTGCTATAGGCGGTCTCTTGTAGCATACATGAGCGGCCCTTCTGCTGCTTGCTTGTCAGTATATTCCAACTTCCACTGCAACCTCAGCGCAGAATACAACTGCCTACCTGACTTCTCTTTTTCCTTATAGATACAGTGCGTGACCGATTTCATGAAATGTTGGCAGAAATTCTCAAATGCGTTTTTGACTGGAAAGTATTAACAAGGTGGCGTGGTAATATTAATCATAATGGCGCATAGGACTCGCCGGGCTGTCGGCTTTCCAATTCGCTTCATTATGCTCTCCCACAGACACCGTACGGGGCACAAAATGACTACTTATGTGGCATACATTTTTCACACTGGTTTTCGATAATCTTGTTAATCCAAACATATTTCTCGGAAAACATGCACGAAAATGTGCTGTCTTTTACCTGTTTGATAAAAAGTCACATTGTATTTAAAGTGTACATTTAGGTTTTTACAAAGTTCCCTAACACCCGAATAATTTTGAGCCTGATCAGCCTTTTCGGTAG